GCAGACCCACCTGCACTTGCTCCTGGGGTAGCGACATCCACCCTGGAACCACTGGCCCAAAGCACGCCTGCGTTTTTTCCAACCCGTGGGAGGAAAATCAAGTGACACACTGGGGCACATGTGCCTGCATGCCGGCTGGCGTGCGTGCAGTGCGGCTTCAGCATCACTGGCCCCCGCCAGACCTCAAGGTCACCAGTCGCCCTTCGCCAGGCTGGCGTGACTCAGGGATACTTGAGTCATGCCTCCCGATTCTTCAGAAACTGGCGTGACGCGGGCCCAGCACGTGGTGCTGGCGCACGGTGCTTTCTGCCTCCCTTGCCAATTCGTGCAGGAGGGTCTGCAGCTCTGCCCTGGGCCCCCGGCCTCGCAGCCAGGCCTGCTTTCAGTTCTGCTTATTTCCCCCCACCCCCGTGCCAGGAGGAAAGATTCACCATTGTGCAATAGGAACCCCGTAGTGGAACGTGTGGTTGTGTCATGGGACATCGGCAGGTCAATCCCCGTGCAGGCACCGCAGAAAAAAGACTGCAGCCTGCCAAGAAAGCCGAGGTGCGAGAAGGCCGAGGCTACTCGTCTGTTGCCCGTGGATGGGGCTGAGCTCCGTACCAGCAGTGTGAGGGACTCCTTTCACTCGCCCCAGGTAGCAAAAGGTACTGGGCCGGCCCTGTCTGCCAGGACAAACAGTCCCATTTTGTGACTATATATTTCACAGAGAGCTTGTGACAGTCACATTAGCTCCAGAACAGCCAGCACCAGATCGGGGACTGGAGAGTAACAGATTAGCTGCCCAAACATGTGGCAAGCAAAGACATGGCCCCAGCAACTTGGGTTAGCAGAGAATCAGTCTGCGCACCAGCAGTCAGCCACAGTGCAAGGAAGGGCAATTCATTTCATGTCTACCTGAGAATGCCTTTTGTTTGCACTTAGAAATAAATGGCCTCTGCATCCAGGTGCTCCGAAGTCCCCTGCAAGAAAAGCTGAATTTGGACCTGCACCATTTATTTATTTGTATTTATAGGTGACCTTTAATTGCCGAGGCCTTCCTAGGTGGCTTACAATGCATAAAACATACTAACAGAGTAAAAACACATTAAAAACCAATTAAAACACAATGAATTAAACATCTACAAAAACAATTAAAAAGGGCTACAGCATCCAGGCTAAATGTTAAAAAAAATCCTAAGAAGGTATGTCTTTGCCTGGCGCCAAAAGGAAAACAGAGATGGCACCAGGCAAATTTCCCTGGGGAGGGAGTTCCAGAGGTGGGGAGCAGAAAGTTGTCCTCTCATCTGTATAATGGGGTTCTGCTTCCCTCATTGAGTATGTTGGGAGGGGAAGGAATTGCTCAGGGCACTAAAGCCCTCTTAGCACCAGGAATCTAAGTTTATCAGGAGCATTTTATCCCACACTCCCAAGAAGCTTAGGGTATCAGACACGGCTTTCTGCGCTCCTTGTTACTTCCACAGCAACCCTGCGAGGCAGGCGGGCTGCTCACTGTCCTCTGGCGGTTCTGCCACCTCCTTCTGTTGCAGGCATAAACCTGGATTTTATGGAATGCTAATAAGTCACGGGGTAACAACATGTGCAGCTGTGGAGGCTCGAAGCCTCTAGATGCTCTGCCTCCACAGCCCAGTGCTCCAGCAATGGTCCACTCGAGTCCCAGTCAGGCATTTTAAACCTGATGGGAAAGAGGGAACAGTTCCATCGCAGGAGCACCCCAGAGCATGCCCCTCACCTTGTCTAGAAGGTTTCACCTTAACCATTCCCCTGCATTTGGGGAGAGAAAGGCCTGAGCTGTGCAGTGGTAGAATCCCTAGGGCCAGTTCAGACCGTGGGTGAAGGATCCTACCTTGGAATTCTCCCTCTGCTAGAAAAAGAAAATCCCTGCAAGCAGCCATGAGGATCTCAGGAACTGTTCTGCTCTCTGAATGCTAGCTTTCTGTTAGCAAGGGCTTCTTGAAATATCTAAGAGCAATGAACGGCGTGGTTGCATATGTGGTTCAGTTCATTCTGCCATCTGTGCATTATTGGCATCTCCCCTTCCCCCATGACCATGTGAAGTGGATTTTGGACCAAGCCATGTGCCACAAGCAAGGGAAAGAAGAACAAAATCGTTCCTTGTTGATTGGTAGGAGATTCCAGAAAGATCCAGAGAAGAGAGAAGCACTTCTTTGCACACTGCACAGTAGATCTATGGAATTCACTTCCACGAGGTGGCGAGATGGCCACCAGTGTGGATGGGGACTGGACCAATTCCTAGAGAAAGCTACCAGTGGACGCTAGTCCAGGGGGCTACATGCTAGGTCCAGCCCCGGACGTGGCGAGTCCCTGTAACAGCAGCCGTGGGAAAGCACGGTGGAAGAGTGCTGGGATGAGGAGAAATCCACGGTTTGCTTGTGGTTCCCAGTGGGCAGCTGGCGGGCCACTGGGAGAACAGAATGCAGGACTGGGCAGACCCTGTGGCCTGATCCAGCAGGGCTCTTTTTAGGGCCTTATTTATTTTATACCTCCCCATAGGCAAAACTCTCTACAACAGCTAATAAAATGCAATAAAATGCAATATAAAATCTAATAACAGTTTTAAAAAAGTAAAATTACATTTAAAAACCTAAACTTTTTTTTTTGGAAACATAGAGAACTAAGACTAGTCTACACCACTGGGACTGCGAAAAACAGCTGGCGATCCCTCCAACCCCTATGCCATTTGGAGTGGCAAATGCCTTGGCAAAGAGGGCGATCTCAACCTGGTGCCAGAGAGATAGCAGAGCCGGCACCAGGTCGGCAGCAGTAGGGAGATCATTTCACTTTGGGGGCTACCACAGAGAAGGTCTTCCTTTCTGTTGGCACCAGCTGAGGGCTTTCTTACAGAGGGCTTTCAGACGCAGGCCCAGGTGTGGGGTGCAGCGTCCAGGTAGACTGCAGATGGGAGAAGCACTCCCTTGAGTATCGTGATCCCTTGCTGTGTAGGGCTTTATAAGCTAAGCCTATAGGTCAGGGGTCCTCAGACTTTTCCACCAGGGGGCCAGTTGAAAGCTGCTGGTGCTGGGCGCAGGCCGGAAAGGCGGTGCTGCCGGTGCGCGCGGGCCGGTGGCGCATGTGGGCGCACGTGCTGAGGCGAGGCGAGGTGAGGCGAGGTGTGGGCGGGTGCGGGCGCCCAATGAGGGGAAGCGAGGTGCAGGTGGGGGCAGGCATGTGCCGTGGGGCGGGCGCATGAGGCAGCGGCTTGCTCACTTGGAGATTGTTTTCTCCAAGCGAGCAAACCGCTGCCTCCCCGCGCGCGGGGTGACGTGGGCGGTGGCAGGCTCGGCAGGTCCAAATGGACATGGCAGGCCAGATAAATGGGCATGGCGGGCCGGATCCAGCCCCTGGGGCCTTAGTCTGAGGACCCATGCTATAGGTGATAGGCCTTGCGTGGGGGGCAGAAGTAGGTAGTGAGCCAATGTAAGTGGGCCAGAACTGGTGTTAAATGTTCAGACCTTCTGGTCCTGGTTCATTATTCGGGTTGCTGCATTTCTGCAAACTGAAGCTTTGGAACAGTCTTCAAGGGCAGCCCCATGAAGAGTGCAAGGCAGCAATCTAGTTCAGGGATTACCAGACAGAAGATTCCTGACGCCAGGCTGTCCCTGTCCAGAGAGGGGCATAGCTGGGTCGCCAGCCAAGCTCACAGCAGGCACTCCGTGGCACTGAGGCTGCCTGAGCCTCGCGTGACAAAGAGGGTTCAAGGAGCGCCCGCCGAGCCACAAGGCTGCTTCCTCATTGGAGCACAGGCCCTACCAGAATGGGTCGAGCACCCCCCAGGCACCCACTAAACGGCTCCCATTGTCTGGCCTGAGCTTCAGTTTGTTAGCCCACAGCCAGGCACTGGTTTGGCACATCCACAAGCTCGGCTGCTGCTGCTGCTGCTGAGGAGAAGTAGAGCTGTGTGTCAGCACTGTTGCCACACCCCCCAAGCCTTGAGCTTCAGGTAGATGTGGGGACGAGACCGACTCCTAAGGAAGCCCATGCCAGAGAACCCGTGGGGCAGAGGAGCACTCCCAGGTGCCTCCTTCTGGAGCCAACGCTCCTGGTGGGAACAGAACCTCAGCAACGGGGTGCGAGCCTCTCCCAGACCAGACAGCTGCCCCGGCAGCATAACCTGCTCGGGGGCACCGAAAGCCACAGAGTAGCCAAGAATATCAGCAGGGCCACAGTCCCAGTCTCCCTCCCAGCGCAGGTCACTGCAGATGACCAAAGCTGTTTCTGTGCCAAACCCCTGCCTGCACCCCGGCTGAAATGGACCGGACGGCCAGTCTCACCGTGTGCTGCAGATGGCTGGCCAAGGACCTTGTCTGGAAAGGGAATGCCGGCCACCAGCCTAGCGTTGTCCGGTCTTGGGGTCCGAAGAGGTCTCACCACCGCTGATTCAGGTGGCCAGGACCACTCCCCCTCGCGAAGAGGCACGGATCACCTCCTGGCCCAGCCATGGTTCCCTCCCTGCCAGCTTCTCGGCCAAGGGGGCAAGAATCCAGCAAGGGGGGGGGGCTGCACAAACCTGTCCAAGCACCTCCTCTGCATCCTCTAGCCCCGTCAACTGACCCCCGCCCCCCGAGGACTGGCCCAGTCGGTGCCTTTGCTCTTGGTCCGGCCTTCCCTCCCGAGGCTTGACTACGCCCAGCCTGAAAGTTCTGGGCAGAGTGACCCAGAAGGGCGGCCCGGGCGCTGTAGGGCTTGCAGGCCTTGCAGGGCAGGCGAGCGGGCGAACTGCCCTTAAGCATTTGTCGGAGCAGGGAAATAGCACCCGGGAGGCGGCAGAGCGCGGCCGTGCGGCCACTCCGCCGGTCCGGGCTAGTGCTGTCCTTCCCATCGCGCCGCGTGCGGGGAGGGCTGCCCACCCCAAAGTGGGCAGGAGCGGCGAGGCGAGGCGAGGCGAGGCGGGCGGGCGGCGGGGAGGGGAAACGCGCCGCAGCGCCGCGCCGGGCCGCGCTACATAAGGCGGGGCGCGGGCGAGGGAGACGTCGGCGGCGGTGGCTGCGGCTGCGACGGCGCGGTCGGCTCCGCTCGGCTCCGCTCCGCTCAGCCCCGACTCCCCGGCCCGGCCGGCTGCCGGGAGGGAGTTGCGCCTCCGCCTCGCCCTCCGCTTCCTTCCGCAGCGCTCAGTGCGACCTGTCGCCGACGCCGCCCGCCCGCTCGCCCGCCGCAGGTACGAGTCCCGCGCCTCGCAGGGGTGGCTCGGCCGGGCTGCTGCCGCCCGTCGGCGCCGCCCCGTCGGGCAGCTCGCCGCGCCGCGCCGCCACCGGCCGCCCTTCGCCGACGGAGCCCTCCGCTGGCCCGGCGGGCGCGCTTGCCCGCTCCAGGCTCCGCGGGGTCGCCGCGCGGAGGCGCCCCAGGCCCGCTGCCTCCTTTCGCGGACAGACGGGCAGCCGAAAGGCCGCCGCGCAGAAGCCGCTCCGCCGCGATCCGGGCGGGGCCGGGCCGGGGGTGCCCCGTCTAAGTTTTCTTTACCCCCCCGTGTTTTTTTTTCTTTATGCAGACAAAAAGCGTTTACAGGGCTGTTTTTATTTTTTGTAATTTGTAGGCGATTTTTTTTCGCCCGAGAGCCAGATGAACGCCCCCCCTTGCGTCCCCCTCCCCGTGGGCGTTCGGCTGGCCGCAGGCCCGATGGACGGGGGTGATAAAACCATGATGGCTAAAGAGTAAATTAAAAGGAAGACTTTGGGGGCATTGGATTGATGTCAGCTGTGAGAAAAGAGAATTTATAGATTAGTTGTTCCTGTCTTTTCTTACCCTTGCCCTTCTTACCCTTTCTTGCCCTTACAACTGGCATTCCGGCAGCCCTACTCCAGAATCATGGAAACAACCAATCTGCCATAACTGAGATTGTTATTCTTTATCATAGAAACTGTCATTAGACTGCACCTCACAGTGGTCTCTAACCTGCACAGAAATGAAGAAATGCAAGTTTCCCAGAGGGATTTTGTCGGGGCAGAAAATTCCGGCTTTCAGGGCTGTTTTGAGGTTCTGCCTCATCTGTGCACACACGTGTGCTTTCTTTGGTGCTGCACGCACCGTGCGGGAAGCGCTTGCGGCGTGGGCCAGCCTTCCCTGTGGTGATGAGGGGCGCTTGGCTCGCCTGCGCCCCTGGAAGCAGGGGTTCTTCCGAGCCCCTCGTGACTGGGGAGGCGCCGGTGCAGGTCCCCTGTCAGCCGCTAGGTGCCTTTGGGCCCATCACAGGCTCAGCCGCACCTGCTTGATGGGGCTGTGGTGCAGGTGACGTGGAGAGGCGGGACACAGCAATAATACCTGTCCAAAACAAAAATGACGCCACGGTGTTGCAGGTCCGACCTCGTGGGGCCCCCAGCTCGAGTTTCTTCCCCAGTGGAAGCTAATTTTGAGGGGTACTGAAGTTGCAGGGCAAAAATCAGTCCTCCCCACATCCTGCACCCCCCCTCCCCGCACACACAGTGCATTCCAAGTAGCGCTCTGCAAAATTGACAACACTCCGTTTTGGTGCAAACATTTCCATGTTTGGGGGTTTGCTCATTAGAAAACTTATTGGCTGCTCCCTAGTGCACACTTTCCGACACTATTTCAAGCGCATTGTTGTTGAAGAAGAATGACTGATTTGAGATGTTCTGGGACAGAGTTCAGATGAACTGAAGCAATTCACTCTCTTTCCTGTAATTTGGATGAGAAATTAATCAACTGGCAGTGCCTTCTGTGCAGCTGAAATAAATTCTAGTAATTCCTTCTCAATGTGCATATGGAGATATAAATTAATATATGCACATTTCATGCAGATTTGTTTCCCATGGGCCTGGGTTCTGAATCTTAGGTAACTTGCATGGCACCTGAGCAGCCATTCAGTCCTGTGTTGTATCATCTGCATGTTGCCGGTGCGTGGAGATGACTCCTGGTCCCTTGATGGGATGGATGAGCCAGGTGACCAAGTTACTACAGCCTGAGGGAGTTCAGTCTGGGGCACTTTGGAGACTGAATGTCCCCCCACCCCACCCCACCCCACCCCCATGTGCCAAAGGCAGTCTTAGCAGGCAAGTACCCCTGAGTTTAAGAAAACAACCCAAACATCAAAGGAAGAAACAGGGTGTGAGGGTCTGTTGTATTGTGAGACCAAAAGGAGGGGTGTCAGTTTATTCTGCCTTAAGAAATCCTGCAATGAAAGTGAGATCCTGGCCATGCACTAATTAGGGTTCCCTTGATTGTGCTTGGAAGGCCTGTGCTTAATTAGGAAAAGCCCCCTCAACAAAAGCCCCCTCAACAAACCTGGCAAACCTTGCAGGGGCCTTATCAGATGTGTGTTTAAATAAAGGTGCACCAGGAAAGGGTTCTGTTTAATCACTGTCTGTTAAATTTAGAACATACTGCTAAATGTTTGTGTTTGGGGTGGCAACCAGGGCGTGGAGTCCACTCATCCTGTGTTGCTGGGAAGGAGAGGATGATCTACCGGCCATTCTGGCTTCATGTTGTGTCCTGTAGAAAGTGGAGACATTCAGTCATGTCCTCTCCGATCACCACCCTGCACACCAGCTTCTGTTGGGAAGGCCATCCACCCGCAGCTTGGATCAGCCCCATAAGTGCTCTCTTGGGCAGCAAGTGCTGCCATTCCAGGGAGAGAAGCCGCTCGCCTCTGCATGCAACCCCAGCTTCCCCCAAGAGCCCCCAGGCGTTCCTCCTTCGCTTGGCCAGCTGCACGGCATGTGTTCCCATGGACTCTGCTAAACAGGGTCGGAGGCTGGCAATTCATCAGCATGCAGCTTAGCTCAGTGCTGCTCCTGGCTTTCAGATGGGCAATGCAGGGCTGCCCAGGATGCCAGGTTTCTTTGTTGCCTGTTCACCTTGCACCCAGCCCTTCCGAGATGGCTGCTGCTGTAGAGAACTTGCTGCATTGCTGGGGTCTGAGATCGTAGGAGGCATCTGAGCTCCAGGTGGCATGAGCAGAGGTGGGCAGCTTGCAGAGGAGAGGCCAGCAAAGTTCTAATAATGGCAGAGAATTTCGCCCTCACACATGCAGAGAGGGCTGCTTGGCGCAACAAGCAGCAGCACTTGATGCTTGGCTTCTCAAGCAAAGATGCAAAGATTCCACCAGTCCGGCAAGCCCTAGTTTCTTTGCTAGAAACTCTAATCAGCAGCCATTTTCTGAGCTCATAGTCCTGTGTTTTTCTTTATGAACTTTTTCTCTTAAACAAGGAAGGAAGGAAAGGAGACAGACAGGCAGACGGCAAAATCCACGTGTGTCAGTGTTTTGTCTTGTCAGGAGGTTAGACTGACCAAGGCTCCCCTTGGAGCAGGCAAGCTATCTGGTCTGTGCTGGCATGCACCTCTGTGGGTGTCAGTCTTAAGCTGGCACCCATCCTGAGCGATAGTCCTGATGGAGGGGAAGAAGAATCTGGGTAGTGCAAAGGGAGCAGCATCGGATGTGGACAGAGGAATTCCAAGCTTTGCAACGTAATCCAGCTGGCCCAGCACGTAGCCTGGCCTACCTCGCAGGGTTGTGGTTGAAGCTGAGCATTCTGCTTTGAGCTCCTCAGAGGAAGAGCAGAAGGCCAGTGGGATATAAATAGCCTGGGGTATCACGTCCAATTCTGGCCTCAACAGGACAGGCTGGGAAGCTGGGACCGGGGTGAGGGGCCTGTGCTTCCAGGAAGGCCGCACCGCTTTCAGTCCGTGAGCTCAAGGCTGTTTGCTGCCCTTTTGCTTTCTTTTCCCACCCGGAGAGCCGGCATACAGGAAAAGGTCCTCAATTACATTCCTGGCAGCTGATTGCTGGCTAGAGAAGTCTGGACTCAGGGGACACGGCGGGGAGAGAGAATTCGGAGGATGCACCAGTAAGGCGAACGTGTTGGGGCCGGCCCAGCCTGCCGCCCTGGCCATCGGCGGCGCTCCAGCCAAGCAGTCCTCCCCACAGAGCTTGCTTTTGAGATGCTGGGTGCTTTCTGGGGCAGCCGGAGCATTTTCGACTCTGGGCTTATGCACTCCCTACTCTTTGGATGGGCGCCTGCATTACTTCACTTATAAAAGGTGGCTTACCAGGTCTGACAGCTTGCCTTCCCTGCACCTTTGCTCCAAAGCTCTGCCTCAGTGGCACTGCTGGGATGGAAAGTGGCATCCACATGAAACCTGACAGGTCCTGCCTGGAGCAAAGTGCTTGAGCCTTGGCAAGGCTTGCACGGTTTCCATAAGGGTGCACATCCCTAGACCTTTCCTGCCACCTGCCCGCAGCTGCGCTTGGTCTCAAGCAAGGAGGAGATGAGCCACTCAGCACCTTTCCTTTCTTCTCCACAACCTGCAGGTTGCAGAAAGCCAGACGACAGCATGCCGGGCTCCTGGCTCCTCCTGGCTGCCTTGCTGTTGGCAGGTGGCGTGCTCGCTGCCCGGGCGTCACGCACGCGGAGGGAGCTGGCTCCAGGACTGCACGAACGGGGCATACGGGACGCGGGTGGCTCTTACTGCGAACGGCACGGGGCCTGCTGCCACGGGCGGGACGACGCCTGCACGGTGCCCTACCTCGATACCATCTGCTACTGTGACCTGTTCTGCAACCGCACCATCTCCGACTGCTGCCCCGATTTTTGGGAGTACTGCTTGGGCATCGAGCCCCCATTCCCCGTGCAGAAAGGCAAGGCTGCTGGTGGGGCAGTTGGCTCTTTGGGGAGGGGCAGTGCAAGTGGGCAGCAGAAGGCCTGCGGGTAACTGGCTAGCTGCTGTGCGAGGAATGCGATGCGTCTGTCCTCTTGCTGAAACGCTGGGGGTCTGGGCCGCATCAGGAAGGGAGCTTCTGAGCTTCCTTTCCAGCTACAGATCTCCCTCTCCCATGGTGGAAAGGGGAAGGGCTATATCTTGCAGTCCCTGGGGCACCCTTCTGGGGGACTGAGGATTGCAACCGTTGTTAACTGGTGGAACTCACGGCCACAAGGTGTGGGGTTGTAGGAAAAGGCTTAGACAAAGTCCCGGGACAGCATAGGAAGCCATGACAGCTAAATGAAACTCTTGTGCTGAGGGGCAGTTTGTGGTTCTGATTATTGGCTGGGGAGGGAGGGAGGAACAGGCAGGGTTCTCATGTGTAGGGGTCACCCCAGCTCCCTGAAACTGCTTGCAGAAAGGCTCGCAGACGCTCAGCCCAAAGAGTCCCTCTCCGGATACCCTCTTTCCCACAGCAGCTCTGCATCCCCTTTGCACCTCTTTAAAGGAAATGCGATTTCCTCGCTTCTGCATAATAGCGGCCTTTCTCTCTTGCCCTGGGAAGGGTGAGGGAGATGCCCCAGCGTTGCCACAGGGCTTTGCAGAACGTCCATCCTGGCCGCACGAGTCCACGGGGCGAGCGAAAGCACTCATTGGGCACATGGTGCCCCTCTTCCAGGGGCTGCTCTCACGAGCCAGCCGTGCCGCCGCTCTTCTGTGGCCCCTCTTGCGCGGTCTCAGGCACCCGGGTGCTGATGGGGAACCATTTGTCAGAAGTGCCCTGCTGAGCTGCTCCGATTGCTTCCAGTGACGTCGCTCAGGAGGCAACTGGTGGCAGAACTGAGCTCCCCTCCCCCCGCCCAGCTTTCCACACGTGCCCCCTCAAGCTGCCCCAGAGGCTGGGGGACCTTCCCAAGCAGATCTGGCAGGCCCGTGTGGGAGGCCACATGGGGGGCGGAGAGGAGAGGACTGCAAAGCCCTGTGTACAGAAGCCCTGTGCCACAAGCTTGGCATATAACACGTTTTTCCTCCTCTCCTCTTCCTCCTCCTCCTCCTCCTCACTGAAGGTTGACTTGTGATGCCTCTGGCCACTGGCCTGTCCGACACATGCAGGGGTCCCCCAGGTCTCCGAACAAGCCCTTCCCCAGGCTTGTTGTCTGGGTGCATTTTCAGCCGAGCGTACCTTCTCTCCGCCACCCTGGCACAGCCACTCATCCCAGCCCCTTGCATCTTAAAGCCCGAGTCTCGGCAAAGAACAAATGTTCCGGGGCTGAGCCTTGGGAAAGCTGAACTTTGTCTCTGAGCTCTTGATCCAAACTGTCAGATCAGGAGCAGGAACCCTTCTGTATGAAACAAAACTTTGTTTTTTCGACCTTCAGAAGTTTCAGCCACCCTTTGTCCTCTCTGAAGAGCCGAACCCTTCTCCGCACTTGCCGTGCCGAGTTATGGGGAGAGCAGAGATTCCAAACTAGGAGATATTGCCACTGCGGGAGCAGGGAGTGGAGGCAGTTCCTGAAGGGCACAAGAGGGTGTGAGGTGCCCCCGCCCACATGCTTGGGGAGGTTAAGGCTCTGCATGAAGGCTTCACCTCCCTGGCTGGCAAGCAGCGGGGTGGTGGCACTCGCTTAAGTGCAGACACTCCTCAGCATGGAGGGCCCGTGTCTGTCCCCCCCGAGCAGAACCCTGAATGGCAGGCCGTTGTGTAGATGCCGGCCAGCACACCCATTGTCATCAGCTGGAAGTCACGGAGTCCTAGCTGCCCGTTCCACCCCAGCACGGTTTACATCACAACGGAGGACCACAGAGGGTTGCTGTGAGCTTCATTCGCCCTCTTGGGGACTCTGAGGATTGTAGCTTAGCTGGGGGCGGTGGGGGTGCTCAGGGAATGCTGGGCGGGCTGCCAGCATCCATGCTCCTGAAGTCCCTGGGAGTCCAGGGGCCAAGAAGTTCCTAGAGCAGTAGTCCAGGTTGAGTCTGGATGGAGAGACACATGGAGCACAGTGAGGCGTGTGGTCCAGCAGGCAGACCCCGGGCTGCATCAGGTCTGTGGAGAGAGGATCTGCCACGCGGCCTCAGGTGTCTCGCAGCAGCTTCGCTCTCTTGCCTTCAAGAGGCTCTCTAAGCCCAAACCGCACATGTGGCTTCCGGACCATTTCTCTCTGCCCCCTCCTGCTGGCTGGAGCAGTTTCGCCTTCCCAGGCGTGGAGCGTCACATTCCAAAAGCTGGAGGGAGGGAGAACAACTGGAGAACATGGCCAGGTCAGCCTCATTCCAGGCTGGGAGTGAGCCATTCACTGAACGGAGGGCAGTCTCCCAGCAGCTGCAGCGGTGAAGAGAACGTCAGAAAGAGTTTGATGAGCACCCCGCCGGAGGGAGGCTTCTTTGTGTCCAAGGAGGCATGAGCAGGCAGCTTCTCACGCCCCTGCCTTCCTTGTCTCCTCCTCTTTCAGTCTGCATCCGCAATGGGCACAAGTTCCCCGCAGGTGCGACATATCGGGACAACTGCAACCTCTGGTAAGTCGGTCACTTTTGGGGCACAGCTTACCACCTAAGGGTGCGGCCGGTACGCTCCCAGGCCCAGCTCAAGGAGCTGGTTCTCACCCCTAAGCCTTGCCTGGCTCAGGACCACAACCCTTGATGGGGGTCTCGGCCTTTACCGTGGATTGTCTAAAACTGTTGTGTTCCTGCCTGCTGATTTTATTGTGTTTCTAGGGCTTTTGAAAGCGACCCCAAAAGGTGAGTGGCTGGGTGTCCTGCCAGCCCATGCAATGCTGAGCGCACATGTTTATGGGTGGGGCAAAGCACCAAGATCTGGGGGGAAATGGCCTGTGCAGGAATGCGACTTTTGCTTTTCTTTCCAACTGCCTCATGAGTCCTGCCTTCTCTGAAACGTGGGTGGAGGGACCACCCAGCAGCAAGGAATGGATGGTGAGGGAGAAGGCTGGGCCGTCACGTATCAGAACAGGCAGATGCCACGAAGGGAAGATGTGTGAGCCAGTGGATGCCGCTCACAGCAGAGGTGAACGGGGCACCAAGCCTGTGGGGTCTACTCTGTTTCCCTTCTGCAGCCCTGAGACCCTCCCACCTGGTGCTAAAGCCCTGAGGAACCCTGGCCCAGGGACGTGTCTGAGGGCCAGGACCGGCTGGCGCTCACTCTCCTCCCATGCAAACGTCCCCCGTTTTGCATGCAATGTATCTTCATCTCCATGGCATAGCTGTGGTGGAGGAGCGTGTCTTGGTGCTCTTGTCACCCAGAGATCTGGCGGCAGAGCCAAACCTACCTTCAGCTGACCCCAGGCATTTAGAATAACATTCTGAGGGCCCTCATCTATTGGACTGCAACTCCCAGCAGCCCCAGAAAGCATGGTCAGTGGCCAGGGGATGATGGGAGCTGCAGACTAGCAGCAGGTGGCTGGCCACGGCTACCACAGGCGGCAGCCAGCTGGCTCGGCACGGAGCGCCGTGTCCATCCATCCGCTTCGAGCGTGTTTGTCCTCACTGATGATTGTGGCAGGTGCGAGTGTTTTTTCTGGGGCTGCAGAGAAATGGCCTCGTGTGCATCTGACGCTCTTGCGGGGGGCGGGGGGCGTTGCCAGTCGCAGCTGCATGGGGCAGCCCTGGTTCAGACGCCTGCGCAGAGTGGCACAGAGCCCCCTGGTGCGACGGCCTGCTGGAACCCTCTGACCAGGATCTGGGCTGGCACTCCAGAGCCAGGGCAGTCTGGAGTCTTCTAGCCTCTCCCACAACAACCCGCCAGCTGGTCCACCCTGCTGCTAGCCACACTGGGCAGGGGGAGGGGGGGATGGCAGGGGGGTGAGGACAGCCATGCCTGCCCTGATCCTCCAGAGCTCCTCTGCTGCCCTCAGGTGTAGAGGAGGACGGGGGGGGGGGGAGATGCAGGTGCGGGGAGAAGTTCCTCAAAAATGCAGCAGAAGTGTGGTATGTGTGAGTATATGCATAAACCAGGAGTACCTTAGTTATTTTTTACCACCAGCCCCACCTTGGCACTTGAGCTTCTGGGGGCCGTCCCTCGTTTCCTGTATCTGCTCTCTGCTGCTCTGAAATAAAAAGCTCCCTGCAGGCCAAACTATTCTGTGCATGCTCAGGGTATTGCGCACCTGGACCTGGCAGGTGCCAGTTCCACCTCAGCCATGGGTCAGCCCTGGCCATCTTTGACGCGGTCTCTGCAGAAGAGGAGGCCACCCTCCTCCCCGAAGCCTCAACCTGGAGATATGGCCGTCCCCCTGAAAAGCCCCAGAGGGAGAGGACCTAGCAGCCCTGCCCCTTTTCCAAGGGGGAGTCCCCACCGAGCGTCTCGTTGCTACTGAGCAGGCCCCGGCCAGGCTCGGGCTGCAGGCCGGCCGCTCCCGCTGCCCGGCAGGTCCATAAAAGGAGATGCAGTTCCTGTCCCGAGGACGCCAAAGGAAGGCGGCTGGGTGGGGGATGTGTGGCGTGAAGGCGTATGGCTGAGCGAAAATGCCAGGCATCGTATGAAGCGTAGCTAATGCTGGAGCTGGCGCCTTGTCCACCGGGCAAAGTTTTGTGGTGGGTCCGCGAAAGGATCGCAGAGGGCATCTTCTGCGGTCTTAGCTGCGTGTATTAAACCAAAATGCACATTATTTGCCCCAGATTTGGTGACCACATCCAACCTGGTGCCTTCCAGATGTGCTGGATGCAACTCCCGTGGCTGCAGCCCAGCACATGTAGAGGAGACCAGGCGCTGAAGAAGGCCGTGGAGCTGAGCGTTGCATCCAGGCTCCTGGGAATCGCAGCTTTTCTGAAATGAGGGTCTGTGTTCCCTTAGAAAGACTTTCTTGTGCCCTGGTTGCATCTCATCTGCTGAAGAATTGCATCTAGTGCTGGCCACCGTACTGAAAGAAGAGTGCCAAAAAAAAAAAAAAAAAAGGAATGAGTTCAAGGGAGGACAACACAGGTGGTCGGAGGAATGGGAAAACTATAAGGATGAAGGAAGAACAGGAAATGTAAACGCAGTAGAAGGAAAAAATGGCCTTCTGCTAGTACCCAGAGGAGCAAAGAGTTGTTCTCTACGGTACCCAAATGCAAGAACTGGATCTAATGGGCTTATGTTAAAGGATGGTAGATTTGGGGTGGACGTTAGGAGAAGCTTCTTAACAGGAAGAGTAGTTTGATGATGGAACCAGTAACATGAGGGGTGGGAGAAGTTTTCCCCTCAGGCAGAGGCTTGGCAGCCCTCTTGTGAGGATGCTGCACCCCAGAATTCCCTTGCATTGAGTAGGGGGTCTTCAGGGGACCCTTCAGTGCTATGATTCTATGAAAAGACGGGGGAAGTTTGCACAGGAATTCTCTGTAACATGTAGTCAGGGATCAGCTGTAAAAGGTGCAACTCCATCTCTTCTGATCGCGCTGTGCCTGGCCCTGGTTGGCCACTGCATTTTTTCTCCTTCTCCACAAAAAGCTTTATATATCTGAAGCAGTGCAAACATTCTGGACTGCATCTAAATGCTCTTCTCACGGGTGAAGCTGTGAAGACGAATCCATCCCATTGAGGGCCCCAGTCGGGACCTTTTTGGCAGTGGCACCCCAACTTTGGAACCTTCTCCCCAGGGAAGTTTGCCTGGAGCCATCACTTTAATCTTTTCAGTGTCAGGCAAAACCCTTTTTATTTTCCTGACATTTTAATATTTAATTGGTTTTATCTTTGATTTTATCACTAATGGTTGGATGCAGTGTGTTGTTTGTTGGTATGTTGTTGTTTTTTGTAAGCCGTCCAGAGACTGTGGTATTGGATGGCATAGAAAAACTTTAAATAAAAAGATAGATAGGTAGATAGGTAGATAGGTAGATAGGTAGGTAGGTAGGTAGGTAGGTAGATAGATAGATAGATAGATAGATAGATAGAGCTCAGACCTGCCAGCCTTTGTCAGAAAGCCACGCCACCCTCACCACCCCGCGCTTCTTCTAGCCATAATTGGTGCCACTCCTGCTTCTGATAGTAACTTCTGTGGATCCAGACTTCCGCAGGTGTTGCCCTTTCGCGCTTGGCTCGGGCTCCGCCTGTGGTGCTGCGCCTGACCTGCTCTTCCCTGCCTTTCCTCCTCAGCACTTGCAGGGCACATGGGCAGTGGGACTGCGAAAACCACGCCTGCCTCATCAACAGGGACATCATCGATGCCATCAACCGCGGGAACTACGGGTAAGGATAAGATCCTCATTATCGTCCTGGTGGGTTGTGGGCTGATGGGAAGAATCCAGGAAAAGCTGTTGGGAAGAAGGTTCGTCGCAGGAGGTGGGGCTGGCCGAGGCTGAGGCTGAGAAGCTGGATTGGAGCCAGATTTAGTCACACTTGGGATGGACCCTTGGGAACTGATGGGGCATTTCCTTGCTTTGTCTCATCCGTATTGCACCTTTTCTTCCGAGGAGCCCAGGTACATCGTCCTCCGCAGTGGCCCTATGAGGCAGGCTAGGCAGCCCCTCTGGCTGGGAGGGGGGCCTTTGAGGACACGCGGGGGAGCTTGGGAAGGGCAGCTGAGGTGGAGGGGCTTCTGACGCCTCTCTTCACCCAGCGCGGGTCAGTGCAGGTGGCTTGCTTGCAGCCGCTCTGTGGGTGTGAATCCATCTTTCACCTGGTCTTTCTTCAGCTGGAGGGCTTCCAACTACAGCCAGATGTGGGGGATGACACTGGAGGAGGGGATCCAGTACCGACTGGGAACCGTCAGGCCTCCCACCTCTGTCATGAATATGAATGAGCTGCAGGTAAGGCTTCTTGCTGGTACAATCCAGAGCTCTTAATATAATACCAGGGGCCAAACGAACACCACCAGTCCTGAGTCTCAGTTTTCCTGCCTGTAGGGCTGTGTGAGCTATGTGCGACTGCAGGCACCCCCTCCCCCAATTATGGAGGGACAGCCCCCCAAAATACCACCGGGGCTTGTTCTGGATCTGAAAATGCATTTTCAAACTGGTACAAATTACCTGATGCTGAAAGGGTGGGCAACTTGTGGCAGTCCAGATGTTTTGACCTGCAGCTTCCATCGGCCTCAGCCATCATAGCCATGGGTGAGGAATGATGGGAGTTGAAGTCCCCATAATGGGAATGAAATTATGCCTTATTTCAAAGTAGTGCCAAGGGCTGGAGTTCCAAGAGGCCCGTGAGGCTCTGCTGCAAATTAGGACGGGCCTGCTGCCACTGCCGGTCAGGATGTGGGGCTCTGCCCCACACTTGCTAAGGGCCTCTCAGCAGGCCTGCATCTCCAACTGAGCCCCTCCATAAGTCCGAGAAGTGCCTTGGTGGTGGACAGCGACTGTATCACTTCTGACGCAAGGTGGAAGCCGAGTTTCCGACGGCACCTCCGAACGAAGCCTTTGCTGTGCATTCCCAGTTCGTGAAATTCCACAGGAGGTCCAGATGACATCGTGATCTTCCACTTGCGACCCTCCCGTGCTTTTCCTTATGCCTTTTTGCTTTCCACAAAATAATCCTTTAAGCAGGAACAGTGGGATCCTTTGACTGGCAGGACTCGGAGCGCCCTTGGAAAAGTGCTTTTTGGTACCACTCTGGGTGTGTGTTTGGAATGGGTTGTCGGGCAACCGCAATGAACTGTGGAATGATCACTGTCCTGGTTATGGCTTGTTCCCAGTGGGGAGAGCTTCCAGTCAGCTCCCAGTCGGGGGAAATCACTGGCACTCCCCCCGCTCCCCAAGTGGGGGGGAGCCGCGTGGCTTTGTTCGAAGGAGAGCCCCGGGGCCTGGGGGACATTTGGAAACCAACACAAACTTGGCAACTTCAGCAGTTCCAGCTCAGTCAAAGAGTTGGGGGTCCATCCTGTGCTGGCTGTGTTGTTTTTTCCCATCCTGGGAAGGCTGCAGCCCCTCAGGACATCTGCAAAGGGCAGCTGAGTCAGCAAACCCGGGACCCTGCTGCTAATACAGTGCATTACCCAGGACGTTAATCTGCACACGTATGCACGTACACACACACACACACACACACGCACGCACACACCATGCTAAAGCAAACATGAGGTCAGAGGCAGCCGGCCGAGCTATGAAAGGGAGGGAGCCAGGAAGAGCCCCTGACCTTTCTAGAACAAGGGAAGGGGCCGGACTGGGCCCTTGGAGCCCTTTCTGAAGCAGGAGGTGCCAGGGAAGCAACGGGGGCCCTGTGGCCCATCAGGCTGGGAGAACAGGCTGCCGGTCAAAGGGACCGACGTGGGTTCAGCCATGAACGTCATTTGATGTCGCTCTGCTTTTGCTTTTGAGCTGTTTAGAATTCAAGGTCATGCAAGCTGGGAGAGGAGAGTGTGGAAATGGTTTGGAGGTTTTGATGGGCTCACCTGGGGGGATTAAAGGCCCAAGTGGATGTTGTCAGGCTGGATGGACACATCCAGCCGTGACACCTCACGCCAACGCTCCTGCAGGGTGGTCCTGGGCCCCTTCAGGCAGGCGTGGCTGACCGGGGAACTCTGCAAGCCACGGCACCTCTTTTTGCCCAGCCCGCCACGGCTGCAAGCGAGTGCTGCGCTTCTGCGGTGTGGGGATGGTGCATCCTGTGTTGCGATGGGGGGCAGCGGGAACCGTGGGACTTCCTTCGGTCTCCGCGTGCATCGGGCTGTGCCCTTAACCACTCCCAAGCGGCACTCCTGTGCCAGGCTGTGTGAGGGTGAAGGGCCGGAGGAGGACTGGGAGAGCCCCCTTGAAACTTCCACTCTGCTGCAAAGCCCACAGGTTCCGCTTCGACCGTTCCCTCCGCCCCCCCTGCCCCCCCGCCCCCCCGTCCAGCAGGCCAACTGCACAGAATTGTTGGGAGGAAGAGGGGGACAATCCCAAGCCGCTGTCAGATCCTCTGGGAAAAGGTGGCACTTCAGCACAGCTGACTGGTCGGGTATGTGCTGGATCCTGGTGCAATGGCAGCTTTGTTGTGCAAAGTGCCCCCGCCCTCTCTCACACACACTGGCGTTCTGAACTCTGAGTGTATCTTTCTATCTGTCTGTCTACACACCTGCACACACACTCTAGACTGTGCCCTGCTTCTTCTTCTGTGCCCCTAGTCTTTATGTATTACTCATTTATTTAATTTATACCCTGCTTTTTTTTATGAACTCAAAGCATCTTCCATTGTTCTCCTCCTCCTGCTCACCATCTTTTCCCCACAACAACCCTGCGGGGTAGGTTGGGCTGCGAGTCTGGGACTGGCCCAGAGTCTCCCATTTGGCTCCAGATCCACGCAGGGACCCGAACCCGGGTCGCCTGAGCCTCAGCCCCACACTCCTGACCACTGCTCCGCACTGGCTCCCTGTTCTGTGCTTGTGAGCGCGTGGAGCCATTGCAGAGACACCAGGGCCCCTCCTCTTGGAACCTGATCCTGGAAAGCATAAGCTGTCGTGGCATCCTCTAGGCCTCCCTCCTGTGGCAAAGTCACCAGGCAAAAGGGATCAGCAACCCCGCCACGCAAGGGTGCTTCCAGATGGGCCTCCTGGGGACCATCGCCCTGCCTAGCGATGGGAGAACCAGCAATGTCAGAAATTGCTGAAATTCTCTGGCATTCGCTTTGGAGCTCATTTGGTACACTCCCTATTTGATCCTGTATTTTGGCTCCTTTGAAAGGAAGTAGTACGTATTTCTGGACATATCTTTCAAAAGTGCTCATTTCCTCCCTTAACTGAAGTATGAAAACACTTTTTCCCTGAAAGGTGCACATTTCCGAGTATGCATTTCCCTCCAAATATTCATCTTTGGAATACAAACTTGGGAACCTGCAAAACAAAAGCATTCCTGCTCACAATCCATTTGGGTTGCAAACAGGAAGGTGTTGGCCCAAACAGCAAAGGAAATGCGCCCTTCAAACAACCACACCCCTGCTTCACTGCTTCTCTGGAATTCCATGAGGCACCCCGAGGACAATGTCTTCACCCAGAACCCTCCTGCGCATTCCCTCCCATGCTGCTTCCATCATTTTTCCCACCACGGAGAAGCCACGCCAGAAGAAAAGGCAGCGCCACAGCTTGGTAGCCCCAGCAGCTCTTCATCCGAAAGGCTGCTGGTTGCTGGGCCGGGGGGCCCGAAGAGGGGAACCACTGTGGCTCGGCTCCCGTCCCCACTTCCCCCGCAAGGCCCACTTTCCTGCGCTCGGGCTGACTCACTGCATTTCCCGCTTCCTCTGTTTTCCACAGGTGAGCATGGATGCCAATGAAGTGCTGCCCCCACGTTTCAATGCCGCCGAGAAATGGCCAGGGATGATCCAAGAGCCGCTGGACCAGGGCAACTGTGCCGGTTCCTGGGCCTTTTCCACTGCAGGTAGCAAAACTCACAGGTGGAAAAGAGGCACGGTGTAGGTTAAGCCTTTGCAGTGCTGCCAGGGCTTACTGTGGTTTTGAACATCTCTTTCATATGGTAGCTTTAATCTTTTAAATGTTTTATATACTGAATGTTATATTTTATGTTTAATTGTAGTGGATTGCCAGTGAGTTTTGACTATTGGACAATATAAAAATGTAATATAAGCATAAATCCAATGCATGATGCAAGGGCAGGGCATCCACGACTCCGCTGGGGAGGAGTTGAAATTGGCCTCCCCACCATCAGGAGCTGCGCGTTGCAAGGAAGCTAGGGGGAAGCCAGTGGTGGCCAACGTGAGTGGCCCACCCCTTTTCTCCCTCCTTTTCAGTGGGCTGCCAGGAAAGGGGCAGATCCCCCTAAACGGAAGGCTGAACTGATGATGCACTGAGGGCTTTGGAACTGTGGCACATGGTCCTTCCCTGCTCCACATACTCAGGAACAAGGAGGCTGCCTAGTGCCAAGCCAGATGGGCCGCCTAGTTCAGCTGCATCTGCCTGGGCTGTCAGAGTTTCAGAGAGGCCCCCCCACCCCACCTGCAGCCTTCCCTGGAGAAGATGGGGATTGAAGCAGGGGCCTTTGGCACGCCCCCCGAGAAAGGCAGAGGCCGTCACCTGGGAAGGCCAATCTCGACCCACTGATGGCGACCGGAGGTGCTTGTTTAAAGTGTGTCTCCCGTGCCTGGGGAGAGCAGGCCCAGGTGCTTCACCAAGGTTCCCCTCATGGCAAGGGGCTCTTGGCTAAGCCAGCTGCCCATCACGCAGCCCTCGAGGCGGTGGGAACGTGTTCATTTCCCCCGAACCTCTCGCTCCGCTTGAGCCCTGGGTATGCTCTGAGTACCACAGTGCTTGGTCTTCAGCCCCGGCCGACGCCATGTGTCTTCTTCTCCCCAGCGGTGGCCTCAGACCGGATCTCCATCCATTCCATGGGCCACATGACGCCTGCCTTGTCCCCCCAGAACCTCCTCTCCTGCAACACTCGCCATCAGCAAGGCTGCGGCGGGGGCCGAATTGACGGGGCCTGGTGGTTCCTGCGCAGGAGAGGGTAAGCTGCTCCATTCGCTCTGGCCGTGGAGGAGCGTGGGACGGGCCTCCTGTGCAGGCCAGGGGCATCCTCGAAGCGTGCAGGCCGGAAGAGGTGTCCGTGCGTGTGCCGCCGGGCTGCTGCGGGCTGGAGCCTTCCTATGAAGCGCGGCCCAAGCAAGGGCATGGACTTGCATGTGCTGCTTGATACCAGAAACAGCCATCCTGATGTGAACGAAAATGCAGGCAAGCTCACCCTAGTGTGAGAAAACACGACTGGGTGACCTGACCCGTGAGCCAGGCCTCTTCCGTCCGCCCTTCAGGTTCTGTGGTTCTTGATCCTGACACTGGAATTGGGCTGGGCGACTCTTTAAGTGGAGAACACTTCAAAGGGTGTTCTTTGGCAGCTGTCCAAAGAGAGGGCTGTTTTTGGTAGGGAAAAGAAAAGGACATGTGGCCACCCTAAGCTGGCCAGATTTTGATGCTTGTGCACCCCAGGAGGCCACTGAGGAAGTGAAATGTTGAACTGAACCAACATTAAGAGTGGACTGTCCTAGCACAGAGCAGTGCTGCTCCAGCTGTTGACCTCTGCACTTCTGTCCTGGAGCAGAACCCTGCACAGGATTTGGGGGAATGTATTAAATCATGCCTGGTCCACATGGGGTGCAGCAGCTCGCCTGGGTTAGCAACGCTCTGTGGAATGCATCCTGCCATGTTGTCCTAGAATATGTCCAGGTCCTAGAACAAGATCTGCCCGGACTGCACCTGTCACCTGGCGAGAAAACCGCTGGAGAACCAACCACGCCCACGCACCGACCGCAGCAGGGGCTGGCATGGGCGGGGAATTCGCGAGGGGGCTTCCCCGGCCCTCCTCCTGGCTCCTGTACCCTCACAACCACCTTGTGGGGTGGGCTGGGCTGAGAGTCTGGGACTGGACACACGTCCCCCAGTGAGCTCCATGGCTGAGGGCGGACTAGAACCTGGATCACCTGAGTCCCAGCCCTGCACTCTGGTGGCAACTCCCTTGGCCAGCTCTTGCCGAGGAGGCGAGTGGGCTGCGGCGTTCAGAAGCAGCGTTGTGTCCGGCCCTGAGACCCAGAGGCAGTGAGAGCTGGTCGGGGTGGATGATTCTCAAAACGCTGCCAGTCGTTGTGGGCCGGGGCAGGGAGCATTTGGACTGGGAACAGTCCAGGTGTGCCTGGGGGATGCTACCATCGTCCTCCACTAGGATCCTGATGTAAATCCCTTCCCGCGTCCGAGCGGCTCCGAGCCCTGGGCGTAAACTTCACTGGCAGGTTAAAAGCACGACTCCTCCGTGATCGCTGTCTCTCGTGCCTTCCGTGCACGTGCACGTGTACGTACCCTCGCACGCGGCAAGTGTCCGATGCCGCATGTCGTTTGGCCCTTGGAGATGAGCCAGCCTGTGGCCAGGTCACTGTTCAGCACCACCCCCTTTTTCTCACCCTCTCCCCGTTCGGTCTTCCAGGGTGGTGACGGATTACTGCTACCCCTTCACCAACCAGGACAAAGACAGCTCTCTCCCTGCGCCGCCCTGCATGATGAGCAGCCAATCCACAGGCAGGGGGAAGAGGCAGGCCACGGCCCGCTGCCCCAACCCGCAGGCCCACTCCAACGAGATCTACCAGTCCACCCCTGCGTATCGCCTCTCCTCCGACGTGAGTCCCTTCGATGCTTCCGGGGTCATGAAGGGAACGGTTCCAGTGCTGCAGGGAGCAGGGTGGTATCCCGGCCGTGGCTATCAGTGCATGGGGGAGCTGGAAGGGTGGGTTGCTGCACGCAGTCAGCCACGGATGCTCCAGGTCACCTGAGCTTCTGCCACGGATGCTCTGAACTTCTGCCGCCATTCACATTTATAGCCTGCTTTCCCAATTTATTTGAATGGAGAAAACGCGCTTTTCCAGTGGGAAATGTGCACTTTCCTCCCATTGACTAATGGATAAAATCCCAATTTTGTGGGATTTTGAAAGTGTGGATTTTAAAATGTGTGCATTTCTTAGTGTATGTTTATAAATGTATGAATGTTTAAAGGACACGTTTCACTGTGGATTCAAGTCCAGGCATGCAAGCTGTGAACATATTTAGGGAAAAGTGCTCTGGTTTGGATTTCGAGTTTCTGTGCAGATCATTTAAGTGATCTGCAAAGAGAAATGAAATTCCCCAACGTGCCCACATTCAGCCTGGTTCAGCTTCCCTCTGCCACCAACAGGACTCGGATGTTGGGTGATTCGGTGCAAAGGCGGTTGGGATCCTGCACCCGTAAGCACTGCAGCACACTTCATTGACCGAAACCGAGCCTCCCCGGCCAAGAGACAGAATCCAAGTCCAGCTTTGCATTCAATCACCCAACTTCTGTGTGACGTTGTGCTGGAATATGAGAGTAAAATTGAACGGGGAAAGGCGAATTTGGGGTTCATGGGCCAAAAGGGAGGGCCACTGCTTATAGCATTGTGGGAGAGCCCCTCTTTGGCAAGCAGATGCCCCAGCTTCAATCCCTACCATCCCACCCAGGCTGGAAAAATCCCTGCCGGAAATCCCGGTTTAGCGCTGGGATACACGGAGCGACGGTTTGCCTCAGGGTAAGGCCGCGTCCAATATTCGTTGTTTACAGATAGAATCTGGGCCCTGAAGCAACTTTCTTGCCAGTTTGTTTGTTTGTTTCTAGAATATCCATTAGTCACATTTCTCTGGGCAGTTTACAAGACTAGAGAAAACTGTAAAATACAACAACATAGTAAAATATATTAAAACTAAATTTAAATCAATGCAATTGAAGAAGCAGCCAGGAGTAGCGCAAAGATCTAAAACTGCACAAGCACAATTTTCATTTTAGCAGAAGGGCCAAAATGCTTGAGAAAGCAAGGCCTTTTCCAAGCACCCAAAAGAGGGCACCGTGGGCACCAGTGGAGGCCTCCCGCAAGTGGGGTGCTCCCCCTCACGGCCATGCGCCTCCCTTTTGCATTAGGAAACCTCGGTGAGGCCTCTGTGGCCACAGTGTTCCGAGCCAGTTTGCATCAAAGGCCTGACAAAACGGCTTTGCACAAGGTCCCTGCCCTTTATAGCCACTGCGCTTTAAGAGGATTTTAGAGGAAAGTGAGCCAGCCTGGGGTAGTGGGACGTGTGGAGGAGAGGGCTGGAGGCACCAAAGGCCTGCTCCCACCTGGCCTGGAGTGCCCTGGGGGCCTTTGGGCTGGCCACGGATGCTCCTCCTAGCCTACCTCCCCGGGTGGCTGCTGTGAGAAAAAAATGGAGAAGAGGAGGATTATTACGTAAGTGACCCCGACGTCCTTGCAAGAGGAAAAATGGTAGGAATTCAGTATGATAAAATATATACATTGATGGAGGAAAGATCTGTCCAAGGCTATGAGCCATGATGACCAACTGAAAGCTCCCAATTGAGATACTAGACCATAAATGCAGCTTCGTTATACTTCCTCTCTGTCCTATGAACTCAGGTTGTTTTCTGGAAAAGGCAGGGGCCCTGAGTAGTCAGAAAAAGAGCACCGACGGTTAGCAAGGAGCTGCAGAAAGAAGGAAAGGTCTCTCCTGATTTTCCTAGGCTGAACTCTCCCCTCTTTCCCTTGTGTCTGCAGGAGAAGGTGATCATGAAAGAGATAATGGAGAACGGGCCAGTCCAGGGTGAGTTGTGACCCTCCCACGAGGCCCATGCGCTTCCTGCCACATACAGCCGGGCTGAGGCTGGTCTTGGGAGGAGGGAGAGCCCCTCCGGTGTGGTGGTTGGGAGGGAGGCCTGTGGGTGGCGGTCCCGGTTGCTGAGAGGCTAAGATGGAAGGGAGGAGAGCGATGGAGGCCGCTCAGGCCTCCTTGGAAGGAGAAAGGCTGGTATAAATAGGGTCCGTGCACGGAAGAAGTGTGGCAGGCTGAGGGCAGCGGTGCAGCGCTTCAGGCCCGGCACCCCCGTGTGGGGTCGGGAAGCTCCTGTGCAAAACCCCGAAGGGCTGCTGCGAGTCGGGGCCGGCGATGCCAGGCTGCAGTGCGCGTGCGCTAGGATCTGCCTTCCGTGGTTTCCCTGCATTTCCTCTGCTTGCCGGCAGGCGCACAGGAAACCAGTGTGCGCAGAGTCCGTCCAGCCGGGGCTGCACGTGGAAAACAGGTACCCACAGTAGTGGAACGCGGGTGTGGTGACGGGGCACCTGCGATCCGGAAGGGGACACAAAAGCCCCCAGAGCTGCTCTGGTCTTTCATTATGGCATAAAGGTGCGTTTTGGCAGTGCAAGGAAGCACTTGGGCTGCTGCCAGCCCGCCTGGAGGCTTGTAGAGGGCAGCAGGCTGGACAGAACGTTGCTACGGAAGCATCGGGGGAGTCCCTGCTGGGGGCTGGCGTGCGAAAGAGGGAAGCTCGGGGCCAGGCACACTCCCAGACTTGTTAATGATTTCATCAGGGCTTTGTTAATGATTAATTTAGGCAGAATTGGACTCTGGCTTCCAGCAGCTTCCAGAGGTCTGAAACGGAGCAAAGCGGCCTTCTTGAAGGCAGGGCGCTTGCTCGTGGGCTTGCTGGGCGAGTGGCGGGCACTTCCCTGACCCGAGCGTGCCAGCCGGACCCCATCGCTGTGCACAAGGGGCCGTGCACATAGACTAATGCCACACGAGCGGGATTCTGGCCCGGGTACAACCCGCCTCCCAGGCACCTCTGCGCCTCTGCGGAGGGGGCAGGTGCTCGTGACGGCCAGGCGGGTGCATCTGGCGGGGCCTTGCCCTCGAGCCCCACCAGCTCCTCACTGCTTCTTCAGATACGGATGGCTCCTCACTTGCGCCTCACCCCTAAGGTGGCAGCTGCTGTGGGAAGCAGTTGAGCCGATGTGCCCATTAGATGCCCAGGAAATTCAGTCCCACTTGCTTCTGAGTAGATCTGCAGAAGCTGGTCCTGCCTACTTCTGAGTAGGCTTAAGCCAATAACAATCCCATTTGGTCCCCCTGAGACCTCCCCCATTTCCCACTAGTTCCAAGAGCGGTGGGATCCGTAACGGAATGCCCAGTGCCCAGGCCGAGCCGCCATGCCCAGGCCCTGGGGAGCGGAGGAGCCATTCTGATGCGGGTAATCTTGGGGAGCAGCACGCCTCAAGAGGAGGCGCTTGTCCTCCCATTGTCTCAAAAGTTTTGGGAGCTTTTGCTGGAGCAGCCAGAGGGAGCAAGCCCTGGTTTTGCATTCACACAAACATCCACGGCACTTAGAAAGGAAAAGGAAAGTTTATTCATCAGACGAATACAGAGCAAGCACAAGCTTTAGCCCCATATGACCCACACACCAAACATTCGCATCGCATCCCAATCTTACTCTGTATTTCTAAAGAGAGCAAGAGCTTCCTTCTTAACGTAAGAGGGACACTAACAGAAAGGGGCCAGTCCTAAAGGAAATCAACCCTGACTGTTCTCTAGAAGGGCAGATACTGAAGCTGAGGCTGAAATACTCCGGCCACCCAATGAGAAGGAGGGACTCACTGGAGAAGACCCTGATGCTGGGAATGATGAAGGCAAAGGGAGAAGGGGGTGGCAGAGGGGGAGGTGGTTGGACGGGGTCACTGGTGCAGTGGGCATGGGGTTGAGTGGACTCCGGGGGATGGTGGAGGACAAGAGAGGCTGGCGTGCTGCGGTCGATGGGGTTGCAGAGGCCGTTTGTGGCAGAACAACAGCAGCAGAAAGTGGGGGGGGGGGGCAGGAGGCGTTACCTGTCCTGCAGTAACGCTCGTGTGTCCAGACCTCTTCCAGGGGGAGCAGGAAGAGAGAGAACAGAGAGCGTCCTTCCTAAGGCCCCGGCACGTGTAGCATTTCGCTCTGCCCACGTGGCCGATGGGAAAGAGGAGCATCCCAAGCTTACGCTGATTGCTGGGGTGGGGCCCAGGGGCTTCTTGGTGGATTCAGGGGTTGTTTCTCGGAGTACGAGGGGAGTTCCTTGCCTGCGCTGGCCCGGTGCTGTAGAGGAGGTGACTTCCAGGTGTCTCAGGTCATCCTCCTTGCAGGGCTGCTTTGCCTGAGCAACTTAAGGGGGAAATGCCTGACCCCTTGTCCAAAAGAATCCCAGCATCCGTGCTTCCCTCACGCAGGCTAGCCCAGGATACGAGGCCCGAATTCAAACCTCCACAGCATGGCCTGTGTCCTAAAAGCCTGTGTCCTAAAAGCCTGCCTGGGCCAGGGAGCTTGTGGTTATGGTGCTACGCGCATCACGCCACAGCGGTGCCAACGGATGGGGTCCGGAAAGGCGGGTGGTGCTGCATCAGGCAAGGGGCCCTCCCGTCCTAGACCGGCTGCTCACTCCATCACCTTTCCCTTCCTGTGCAGCCATCATGGAGGTGTACGAGGACTTCTTCATGTACAGACACGGTGTTTATCGGCACACTCCGGTAGCAGCTGGGCAGCACAGACGGCACGGCACCCATTCCGTCAAAATCACTGGGTGAGAGGATGTTTAATGGGAGAGGCTGGCTGGGGAGGCGTTCAAGACTTGCCTTTTTACTGACCACGGGGCGCTGTTCCACTCAGTCAGTCCAAATTCTCGTGCATTTCGGGAAATGCCTGGTGAATTGGGCTGAGGTCCGATTTAACCCAGCAATCTGCTTCTAGCAGGGGATGGCAGCTTCTTTGAAACTAAAAAGCAGGGTTGAAAATGGTGCCTTCTCCTGGGGTTTGAACCCTGGCTGGAACATCCAGCACGATGAAGCAGTCTTGCTTGAGGGAGCAAATCCTGTGATGTTACGGTTCGGCTGGGGGAGGGCAGTTCAGAATGCGAAAGCAGAGACACGCATCAGCCCACACAGTCTCGCAAGTCAATGATCAGCACATTGACTGGAAAGTGACGCTCGGACATGTGCCGTGCTGGGCCGTTTCACCACATGCCTGAGTGTGAGGGTGTGTTCAGAGCTGCTGTTTGTCTGCTTCATCATTGTGCTGCCCAAAGGCCGAAGCTCTCCAGGCAGCTAACAAAAGCTAGGCTTGGCAGGCACGGGCACCATTTCCCTGAGGCTAAACCCACGATCTCAGGGCTGTGCTCTGAGGGACCCTCAAGGCATCCAGTCTGCTGGGGCTCCGGCGTGAGCGGACCCGAGTCGTGCCGCTCAGACTGATGCCCGGGCCAGGAGAGGCAGCGGTGTGTGCTGTGCTTGTGTGCTTGCGCTCCAGGGTTGACCCTGGATGAAGAAAGCTGGAAGCCAGCCGGTGCCCTTCCCCCGCTCTCCTCCTTGGCCCGTGGACCCTGGTGAAGGCCTGACCCTGAGGCCCTCTGGATGCGCAGGGGGCAGCTCGCCTCCTCCTTGCAGTGCCGCGAGTTGGGGCGGGGGCCCTCTCTCCTCATCCCCCTGCTCTGCGGGCAGCATCTGGGCAGCTGCATGTGGAATGTTACGGGTGCCAGCTCTCCGCTGCTCATGGTATGAGGACAAACAGCTGCCAAGGGAGGCCCCGTCGGGGAGAACGGCAGCTCGGAGAACGAGTCGCGGCCAGATAAGGCCAGCGAGGCAGCGGCTTTTCTGTCTGACGTCAGAGAGCTGCCAGCCGCGTGAAGGGAGCCGTGAGCTGAGCAGCTGGAGTGGAGTCTCCAAAGCCCCCCCCCCCCCGCCTAAGCTGGAACAGCGTAATTGGCTGCAAGATACAGACGGCCTTCTGCTGCTTTGCAGACAAAACCAGACTTCCTGAGATTGTTTTCGGGGGGGCAGGGGGGAGCCACGATGGCCTCAAAGGTAGGATGGGCCTGTCCGCACTCTCTGTGGTGGCAGAATCCTTCGCAGACCAGAATCCAAGCCACGCACCTGACGAAACAGCTTCCAGCCCATGGACACACCTGCCTTTCGAAGGGGGTCATCCCACACGTCGGGATGGGAGAGGCTCTGCCACTGCCGGCACACAAAGCGTCGGCCCTCAGTCTGCTCCGTCTCCAGGCGCAGATGGAAGAGGCCTCTCCTGGGCAGCCACCTGGCCTCATCCGCAGAAGGCCACGGGGGATTCGGACAAAGTCGTCTTCCAGCTGGGGCCCTCCCTCGCCCTCCCACCCCACACACTGCTTCTGTCCTTGGTTCTTTTGCAGGAAATCTGTTAAGGAAGGAGAAATTAAAAAGCCACACAATGCCTTTTTAGTGGTGGTGCCGGGAGGGCCCCATCCCCCAGATGTGCTGGACTGGAGCCCCGTCGGAGTCTGACGACATGAATGATGTGGGGTATCCGGGAGGGGGCTGCTGCAGACGTGGGGTGTAGCCACACCTCCCCATAGGCTCAGACGACTCCTTCAGCAGAGTATTGCTGCGGGTCTTCATTTCCAAGGGGCCCGCAAACCGTTTTGGGCCTGGCAGCAAAGCCCCGGAACATCAGATGACCTTGGCAGGAGCAGCAACAAAGGCATAAACACAGAAGAACCATATCCTATAAGCAAGATTTTATGCTATGCAGCTGAAGGAAAGCTGGGGGGCGGGGGGGAGTCATCAAAATCCAGAGCCAGCAAACAGATCTTGAGCTGGCACCAAAAGCTTGTCCTGTGATGATTTTGTTGCATGTGTGGCCTCCTTTTTCCTCTTGCTAGGAACCTGAGGCGTCTTACTTCGTCCTCCTCTTCTGCATTTTATCCTCACAATGACAACCCTGTTAGGAAATGCGCATGAACGAGGGGATGGAATTTGACTCATCTGGAGCCACAAGAACCCTGGGAGGGCGAAGGAGAGCCTGGCAGGTGGAGTTGTGGAGCAGAGTTGTGGGGCTGCGGGCTCAGTGGCCAGGTTTGGCTCTCTGGGGCTCCCTGGATCGCCATAGCCTCTTCCTCTGGGCACCACCACCTGCCCTGCGCTCCTGCAATTGTGTGGCCATTTCCTGACCTTGGTGGAGCATTTTTCTCCCCCTAAAAGGCTGAAATGCTTCTTCTGGGGCTTCTTCTGTGCCAACAGCATGTTGGGCTCAGAGACATTTCCTTTCCTCCTGCTGCCCCCAGGAGTTTCTCTTACATGAAGCTCAGCTCTGGCTTAAACAGGATTCGGCACCCCTGTTGTAGGCAGCGGACTCACTCTTCCCATGCTCCGCTGCACCCTTGCTCTTCACATGCCTGCCTTTTGAAAACAAGCTTTACATTTCAGCTTGTGACCTCATGGGCTGAGAAATTTGCACTGGATCAGAACAAAACAAAGCAAAGTCAGAATCTAAACAGAGCCTTGGCACCAGGCGGCCCTTCTTGACTTGAGGACTGAAAGCGGCAGTGTGCTGCCACCGTTACCCATTCCAGCGAAATCAAAGCACTCGGCAGCGGGCGAAGACCTCCAGCTGGAATGAAGGAAAAAACTGAACTTGGAGGGCAAGCCAAGGAGAAGCACGGAGGGCTCCAGCCAGTGAAGCAGCATTTTCCACTGGCATTATCTCCTTGCAGAAGGAAACGGCTGGCTGGATCCAGAGCTCACTGGAATGCGAGGAAATGGGAGCCTCTGCAGGACAGGCAGCAAAGGCTCTCTTGCCTGCTTCTGGCGGCTCCTTTCCCAGCTGAGAACAAGCTGAATGCTGTGCGCCTGCAAGCTCTGCTTCTGCCCACTGGGGGCCTTTAAAAGGGATTCGATCCACTTGGAAAAGAAGGCTCTCCATGGCCTCAAGTCCTGACCATGGCATGGGGGTCTGCACCTCATGGGAGCTCTGGGTGCCTTAAATCCTTGGACTGAGGGGAGGCAGTGAGACCCAGTGCCCTGCATGGCTCCCACCAGCCAGTCTCTTCTGCCACCCAGTCACTGTGCGATGGGGACTCTGCTCAGACAAGCTGAACTGTGGGTTGGCCTTGCAGTACCGCTTGCTGTTGAAATGCGGATGGTTGCAACTCCACACCCGGCTCTGATAATACATCATGGCTTGTGTACCATGAGCAAGCAATCTAGAAAATGCATGGCTTGTTGTTGGGTTGTGAATTGTGGGCCGTTTGCCCCAGTTTGTGATCTCAGTTGGGTTCAGACCACACGATAACTGAAATTTCAACAACAACCCATGGTTCAATGACGACCCACACACAGGCCTTGAGCATGTGCCGCACTGTTTTCCGTGTGGTGCTGTTTCTGCGCATCCCAGGCAGAGCAGGGACTCTTCGGGAAGCAGATTCATTGCTTGCTCTTTGCCCAGCTCCAGCAGAGATCCTGACAAGCCAGTGAGGGCCAAATCATGCATGTGGAGAAGGCAGCCCCCCGCCCAACGCCTCATACTGGGGTGCTGCTTTTCTGGGTGATCGCTGGTCCAGGGGAATCCAGCTACTTGAAGGTGTGACTCGGCTGTTCCTCTCACTTCTGATGACCGGTTTGTTTGTTTTTTTTGGTAACATCGCCAAAAATTAGTGTTGAAGTATGTTAAATATGCATTGAATTGCCAATGAAATGTGCCTAAGGGGCCGGGGATGGGGGAGGAACTGCATTTGAAGTTCCCAGGAGGTTTTTGGAGGAGCTGGAGCTCCCCTCCCCACAAGCATCTGGAGATGTTCGACCCCTTTCAAGCAATTGAGGAATTGCGAATCTTGTTTCGTGTAGCTGGTATGGCTGTTCCCCCAGATTTGGACCTCTGAGCAAACGTGCAAAGTACGAGCGGTGCCACTTTCTGATGGCTCCTCCAAGGGCTGGGGAGGCTTCAGCCGCTGCCTCGGAGCCTCTTCAGTAAGGAGGCTGCTCAGTGACGCCCTCTCTTTCCCTTTGTGCCGCAGGTGGGGAGAAGAGCGAACGGCTGATGGCTCCAGGGAGAAATACTGGGTGAGTGCTGCTGTGCATTTCCAGGAATTTCCAGAGAAGGATTGCTTTACAGTCCCTTATAGCCCATCTCTCTTGAACCATGGAGCTCATGATAACCCACGTGGGCCTCTCATCCATCCACTGACCAGACGCTTTTGAAGAATTACACTTGTGTAGATATCTGATCCACTCTCTGCCACTGAATTCAGGAAACCCCTGGCCATTCCCTGGAGGTGTGGAGGCACTGGCACGGGGCAGCCACCAAAGGCCTGGCCTCCTGCGTTGCTTCTTTTCCTAGATGTCCATCTTCCCAGAAGGTCCGGGGAGGGGGAGCGCTGAACCTGCTGGAGTCCATTCTGGGTTTCCCTGCCGTCCTTCTCAGGCAGAGCAAACGAACTTCCCAGAACTGTTAGCATAACCTGCTCCTCAGACTTGGTTCTTGCCAAGGGCTGGGCCACTGAAGGTGGCTGCCGCAGGGACCGTCGGGCCCTTGGTAGCTGTGAGATAGCAGGCCTCTGGATCCCTGGCTTAGCTGCCCATTATCCCACTGGTACGACAGGGGCTCTGAGGAACTGGATTAACCATGTATAGCTTTTTGGAAGGCTTGCATGAGATAATGCAACGCAAGCATTGCATAGAAGCTGAACGGGATTGCAGTGGAAGCACTTTGTGGTTAACGATGCCCTCCTGTCGCCCTTCTGTCCCTACTGCCAGATCGCCGCCAACTCCTGGGGCAGGGACTGGGGTGAGCACGGCTACTTCCGCATCGCCCGGGGAGTCAACGAGTGCGACATCGAGGCCTTTGTGGTGGGCGTGTGGGGCCGGGTCGGCATGGAGGACATGCACCACAGGAAGTGAAGACGGGGGCCCTGCCTCGGGTCAGGCCACCAGAGAGAACTGCCTTCTGTCATCCTGGCCTTTCCCTTCCCCGAAAGAGTGTAGAAACGGGATCAGCCCACGGGGCACCACGCAGCTGACTCTGACCGCTCTGTCTGCCTGCAAAGGAAGGGCTCTCGGCTGCAGGACAGGTGGGGCCGGGAACTGCGCCTAGGCTCGCCTGTGGCTTGGGCGGCCCTTCTTTGGACCACCTTGGGAAGTCCCTTGAGAATTCAGATGGCTGCCCAAGAGTGCGTTTCACTGGAGAAGCTGTGCAACCGGAAACCCTGCCGTACAGACCCGTCTCAGACCGAAGGTGCCGCACAGACTCCAGATGCAAGCAAAGAGTGGCAGGCACGGCCAGGGGAAAGTGGCCCCTCCCTGCTGAGTGCCATTCATCTCTGGTGTCCTTGCCAGGTCCTCGTCCCAGATGTGCTGTTGCCTCGGGCCTGGCCAACTCTTCTGGAGGCTTGAGGAGGGGGTGGCCCCTCGAGAGCAGAGGAGCAGGACTGCAGCCGCAAGGCCACTGTGGACTTCCTGTTTGCCAAACAGCCCGGCTCCTTCCCTGGCTTCACCTCGACTTCTGTCTCTTTGCTGGGCTTCCCATTTTTCTGCAGTTTTCCCCTGTTTGGAAAGGTCGAAATGCCCCCGCCCTGCCCCCCCGAGAGCTTGTTCACTGGCAGTCGTGCTTTAGACAAAACCGTGTGGGCATTTGGGGCCCGGCCTGCCACGGGAGTGCAGTCCCTGGAAGATTCTCAGAAACGCTTCTCGGCCCTTGGGTGGAAAGGGGCCGAGCAGCCCTGCCTCAGAGGGGCTTTCCAGCGGCAGTCGTCGCCCGCTAGGTGCCGGTGGCTTCTCATGTGAAATGCTTTGCGACATCAGGAAGCGTGGGAATCCCCGCAAGCTGCTCTTCCGCAGCGTGGACACACGCCAGTCCCTGCGACGTCCACACAAAGCAGCCGGGCCTCACAGCTCGTCCTCCCGGCTTCTCGGCATGTCTGTTGCTTCTGCTCAGCCTAGCAACTCCAGCAGAAAAGGAGGGAGTCCCAATGTTCAAGCTGCCCGGGAGTGACCCCGAGGGCCAGAGGAGCTGGGCCCAGGCGGCAGCAGACACCAGAGAGGAAACAGCTGCTGCAGTTTCGACTGGGCCTTTCCCGAATTGCTCCCTTCCTTGGAGGGCCGTTCAGAACACGCAGCGTCTGCGTCCGGAGCAAAGAAGCAGCCACAGTAACTGGGGGTGAGGATGGCGTGCTCGAGGCATCGTTGCCCATGGCGCATTCACACAACACAACCAGCAATCCTGTGTGCTTACCAGGATGTTTTTTGTTTTACCATGATCTACCTGACAAAGGGTCAAGTGGTTCTACTTTATAGTGGTTTCCACTGCTCAGTCCTCCTGCTGTTGGTCCATAACCCATCAGCCCCCATGCTTGCCTCTTCCTCATGGGTCTGCACCCAGAGGTTGAATGGCTGGAGCGCCTTCTGAAGTTGCTGCTCTTTCCAGAGGACTCTGTGGTAGTTGCATGCCATGCCTGTGGAAGTCGCAATCCCAAGTTCGAACCACACCGCAAGTCACAGTGGTCCAGACAAACCATAGAACAGACAGTCGTTTCTTAGCATGGTTTCTGAAGACCAAACTTACCATATGGAAACACCATGACTGGGTTTAGACAGCATGACAAACCTACCCTAGTGAAAAGAACCTGCCACCCCTTGTTGTGTTGTGTGGATGCAGCCCCTGTGAATGTTGTGCAATGAAGCTCTGGTCAAATGAGCTTGAATCACAACAGGACGCGATATTTCAGTGAGAGGAGAGGAAGCGAGTCGTGGCAAGCGGTCCACAGCCCAGGCTCTGTATCACGTGCCCCATGTGCCCCTGCCCTATTTCCCATCCAGTGTGAAGGAGAGCTAAGGAGCTGGAGCAGGACAGCACAGAGAATCAGGAAGCCCAAAGGACGGAGAAGCCGCGATTCACACTGGCGGAAGCGAGGAATGTGGTGCGGGGCTTCAGTGCTAGTTAAGAGGAGCTTCTCAGCCCGAGGCCTGCGGTCGTGTGGTCCTGCCCCAGGACAGCGATGCCTCCACCGGACCGCCGGTGTCTGCCTCCGCTCGTGCGAGCCTCCGGACCCGCTTCAGCCCCACACAGTGCCATTCCTCTGCCCTCCTGTGCTAGAAATAGGAGGAGAGGCTCTCCCTCCCGCCGCCTTCCCGGCGTTTCAGCCGTCCGTGCGGTTTCTCACTCCCCTCGCCAGGCCCACTGGAAATGCAGTTCTGCTGACACAGAGCGCGTGGTGCAGCGGCCCGGAGCTGATCCGTATTGAAAGCATTCATCCACCCACACCGGCTTTGTGCTGCCCCACTGGCTGCCCCCCCCCCCGCTTGCTTTGGGGTTTAAGCTCCTGTCCCCAAGCCCTTCTGTGCAGGATGTGGGGATCCTTTGTCCTTAATCCCGCCCGGGCTTAGCAGCCCCATTGTCCGCGATTAGATGCCACTGAAAGGGAGGTTTTGCTGGCCATCGCGGCTGCTTTGTCAGTTTTTGCAAGCTTCACAAGTGTCAGAGTAAACACCAGACTTCCCCATTCATGTGAAAGCAGCAGAGAGCGAACAGGCGCAGAGGTGGACGCATCCGTGCAGGGCAGGGGCGCCCTGGCTCTGGAGTGGCTGCCAGTGCCAGCCGTCCTTCCTGCGGGGCCGAAAGCGGGCGCCACGGCGGGCTGCCTTCTGGGCCGCTGCTCCGCCCCCCCACCCACCCAGGATCCAGCTGGGGGCGGACCCTCTCAGCGCGGCATTTGGCCACGGTCTCAGCGAGGTGGTGAACCTGCCTCTCAGCTGTACCACTTCAGAACGTTAGGAGTGCCGTGGAAGGGACTCGTGGGAAGGGCTGCAGGTGTGTGCGTGCGTTGAAGAGGAATTCTGCACACAGAAAGCTTGCATCTCGGGGGACAGGCTGGGCTTGGCGCGTCTCCCTGACGTTTCGCAACATGTTTCCGGTGGAGGTCATCTGTGGGCAGTGCTGCTTGGGATGAGCGTTTCATTTTGTGCGCCTTCCCCCGCAGTCCGAGCAGGTTCTGCCCAGTGGCTCGGGCCAGCCCAGTAAGCAGGCGAAGCGTCCGCCGCAGGCCCCAAGCGCCCGCCGCGCCGCCCGCCCTAGGCTGCGCTGCTGACCTTTCCGCACTGCCGGGAGAAGCAACCTGCGCCAGGAAATCCGCCTGCGCTCGCGAGCAGAACCCTGGTGCCGCTCCTTTCCTGGCTGGAGCCCGTGCCCCATCCTGCTCTGCTGTTAGAGCCTTTTAAGGAGGAGAAAGAGGAAGGTGCCATGAACTGGCTCCATCGCCAGCGTGGCTGCTGTGCTGAGGCCAGGAGCTCGCCCGACTTCTCTGCCGGGTTGCTGCATGCCCGGCTGGCAGCCACACGGGCGAAGCGAGTGGCCGTGGGGTGGGGTGGCCTCTAGAGCTCTCACGTGTTCGGAGGACATGTGAAGGGGTTGCAGAGACACAGCAGGGAGAGCTCCCCCACCGGTTGTGCATTTCGCAGCTGTGCAAAGTGGTCTGAGCACACAGGAGTGGGAATGAGGCCGTGCGGCCCATGCCTTCCTCCTTGCGTTCGTTTCATGGGTGAAGGAGTTGCAGGGCACCCACCTTCCCCCACCCCTCCAGCCTGGGATGCGACCTCTGCCATGGCCCGCCATGATGCAAGTGCACTCCCATAGGCGGGGCCGGCCTTGCACACCCAGAGGAGGCGAAGCGGGCCGAATCGCTTTGGATTAAGGACTGAGGAGGCCGCTGCTGGACGCTCCCTCACATGAGAAGAACGGAACCTGCGCGAGTGAAAGCCTTGTGCCGGGTGTGCGGCATAGAGCAGGGCACTGAAAAACGTGACACCCCCCCCCCCCCCACAAAACATCCGGCCTGAAGCCCTTCTTTCCATCTCAGGACTCGGCCCTCTCGCTCCGTCGCAGGCTCAGGCACGGCTCTGCCATGGCTGCTGCCGGCACACGTCGGGCCGTGCGGGGCGAGCACACGGGCCCAGGAGGCGAAGGGCCGGTCCCCAGGACCCTTCGCTGTCTGGATGCCGGCTCTTTTTAGGTGCTGCTTCAGCACAGCGGTTAGTGCACTTGTGTTTATTGGGCGCATTTGCTCACCCCTCGGCCAGTGAGGCGCAGGTGCCATACACTGTCGCAGCTGTCCTTGACCAGGTTCCGCCAGTGAAATCGCCACGACTTCCCCAGAGGATCCTGGCAGAGGGGCCTGGCAAAGGCCCGCAGGTCCCGGCCCAGGAAGTGGCAGCTGCAGGGACCCTGACTGGTCAGAACAGGTCGTTTTAGCCAGGTCACAGCATCTGCGCATTATCCACTCTCTGGCCTTTTGCATACAGAGCTCCCCTTGCTTGCTATGAATAGTGAAAACGTGACATGGAAAAAGTGACGCACTCCCTTCCCGAATTCCCCAAGCAATGATTTACATTCCAAAGAAGATGCCTCCGATCGGGCGTAGACAAAGCCATATCCAGGGGCAGGAGCGATATTCCTATCTCGCCCGAGCAGAAGGTTTTGTATTTCCATGAGCCTTTTTATATTTATTTTCCTTTTCGCTATTTGTAAATAAAGTGTATCAAAGACACTGCCAAAACGCATGTGTGACTGGTTTCTTTTCTACCGCCTCCTGCTGCATCTCTGCATCCTCCTGCTGAAATGTGATTATCAGACTGATGTTTTAAAGCTTGAAGAAGTGGCGGTTTAGAAGGTTTGAGGAGACAGGAGAGATCATCTGCTGGTTTTGGTAAAGCAGCATTAAGGTTTCCCCAAAGACATTGCAGCCTGCAAGTTTAATTACAGTGGAGTGAAAAGGGGTAGAACGAGGAAGAAAAAGTTCTCTGAACAATATTGTTTTTAAAAGCTGGTTTCATGTATAAGTATCGTAAGGGGAAGGGTGAGCAAGCAGAATGGGGCGCTGTTTCGCAGGAGAACCGGAGCTTCCCTGATGAGTTTGTCTGCTCAAAGAGGCTGCAACAGTTCTTGGGCACCCCTCCTGGAGCATCGCCGCTCCGTGCGTCCGCGCAGGTGTGCGTCCGCAGAGGGAAGGGCGAGCCTCTCGCAAGAGCCACACTGCCTGCAGGTCTTAAAAAAGCCAGTGATAAACAAGTTGGAAAAGGCCAACAAGCCATCATGCATTTCTTACGACATCTGCTGTGTAACCAGACACCTTCCAACCTGGATCTGTTGGCGACATACAGGTATCTGAGGGGGTGTCACACGGAGGTGGGGAGAGACCTGTTCTCTCTGCAGAGGAAGGCAGGACGCGCTCCAACGGAGCAAAACTCAGGGAGCCACGGTTCCATTTAGATGCCAGGAAGCACTTCCTGACAGTCAGGACCCCGAGGGTGTGGAATGGGCTTCCATGGGAGGTGATTGAGGCCCCATCGTTGTGGGTGTTCAAGGATAGGCTGGACGTCCACATGGTGGGCATGTCGTGAGCGGAGCCAGCTGGTGCCGGAGGTCAGACTAGATGGCCCGGGAGGCTCCTTCTGACTCGCTCTGTTTTCTATGTTTCTAACCTTCCCCATGCCGCACCCTTCAAATGGGTTGGACTGCAACACCCATCATCCACAGCCAGCATGGCTCTTGCTGGCGTGGCATGACGGAGGTTGCAGTCCAATGCACTGGGCTGGCTCCGGCTTGGAGAAGGCTGGCGTGCTTGGAGATGCTGCACGCAGGGAGTTGGGCTGCGCTTCACCGCAGCCAAGGAGGCCGGGGTGCGGACACAGCCGGGGGCTCAGCGGCTCAGCCACCTCCCTCTCTCCTCCACCTGAAAGGCTGCATCAGTGCCGCTGAAGGGGCAGGGAGGTCGTGCACCTGGAAAAGCTGCGCAGGCCAGATAAGTGTTCCGGCCTTTGTCTGGCTTCCTGTTATGCTGGGACACGCCGACCTTGGGAAAACTTCTTCACAGGCCCCTCTGCCAGGAAAGAACAGCTAAGGACGCTGGATGGGGGAGGCCACGGGACTCCCCTCCCTGCCATGGCTTGATGTTTCAAGCACGGATCAGTGGGGGGGGGGGTCTCCTGATTGATGGAGTTGGCTCACGTGTTCGAGCGCTCCTGCACATGCTTGCCAAGGTCACCCACACGGTTGGGCTCCAGTCACCATGTATGGGGTGAAAACTGTACGTTGAAGAAAGCCAACAGGAAGAAAATTGACGCGTTCAAATCATGGTGCTGTTTGGGGGGTTGTTTTGTGAATAGCTCAGGCCTCAGCAAGACAAACAAGTGGGTCCTAGGCTGAATCAAGCCAGAGCTTTCCCTACGAGCTCAGAGAAGCAAATGTGGCAAAACAGGCTGCCCTTCAGGCACATCGCAAGAAGGCAAGACTCCAAGGGGAGTCACGCTGGGGAAAGTCGGAGGCAGAGGAAAGAAAGGAGGACCAGATACGAGGTGGATGGGCTCCATAAAGGAGCCACAGCCTTGAACTTGGAGGAGCTGAGCAGGGCTGCCACGGGCACGACCTTTTGAAGGGCCTTCATTCGTAGGCTGTCCATAAGCCGGAGGTGAACAACAATAGGAAATGCATGCACATGCCCCCTGCGCATAGAAAGCTAGCAGATCTAGGCACGACTGGAACCTCTTCCCCATCAGACAGTTTTCTATGTGCAGGAAGGCTGGGGGTGGGAACATGTTCAGTGCAAACTGGAGTAGCTTCGCCACCTCCACAAGACAAGCCTCCAGCAGGTGCTCCGTCTTTACTGCAGGGCTGGGGCTGGAACCGCCTCTGCCTGCTCCCTGTGTCTGGTTCTGCGGATGTGTGTGAATTAGACATCAAGGAAGCCCCAGTGGGAAGTGCCACCAGGAGAACAACTGCTTTTCGAATTTCGCTTGAAATCTCTTCGGGCTGCAGCCCTGTTCTCCCACAGCTGTGACTCCCATTCAGCACTTGTGAGCAGCGCATGAGGAACCACCACTGCTATGACCAGCACGGCGGCTACTTTTGGCAGCCTCAGAGCATGGTTTCAGGAGGCATGCACACTTGGGCTATACGTAGATTTGCTTTTTTTAAAGTTTGGATAAGGATGCTGGAGAAATTCTCCCACCCTGGATGTGGAGATGCACTTGAGGAGGAACAGAAAAATGAGTGATGCGGTGGAATTAAATAATGCTGACTTGCACAGTTTGCGCTGCACACCTGGTGATGTCTGACGTCCTTTGCAGGCTTCGGTGCACGTGTGGCAAAGCAGAGCAAACATCTCCCCGCCAAGTTTTCGGTTCTCTGAGCAGCCTGACGGTCCCGGTGCCTGGAGCGGGCTCCTTTGCTGCCTTTCCTGCCGTTGCTGCTGCAGTGCTGCCCCCTGAGGAGGAGGTCCCTGTGGGGCCCGTCTTAGTGCCCCCTGCCATCCTCATGCTCACGAAGGGGGCATGGCAGAGTCACACACGGCATCTTGCTGCACTGCGCGGGTGGTATCCGAGCGGGGGGTGCTGCTGGCAGGGGTGGGCACTTTCTCGATACTCTCCGGCTGGCTAAGGAGCACCCCGCGATCCTCCAGTGCGCCAGCCTGCTCCTTCGGGAGGGCTCAGTTGCGGCTTTGCTGAATGCTGCCAATCTCCACCTAGCACGTGGTCCAGGGCCACCTGGGAGAACCTTTGGTTTTGGAATGCGACAGAAAACTGCCTCGTGCCGTTCAGGGGCAGCTCTTTTTATCAGCATTGTGGTTTTAGGCAACTGTAAAACTCTCCCAGATCGATTATGGGCTCCTATATCAATATTTCAAATAAACGCTCCCCCCCCCCCCCCACCATCACCTTCGGCTAGCAGCCACTGTTGCTTCCTCCACGGCCCCAGGAGGAGGACAAAGAACGAGCGCCACCTTGTGGGCACAAGACAGGATCCCAGCTTCTTTGCCAAGCCTTCTGAATCTGAAGCGTTCCAACGTCACCTTTAAAATGAAATCAAATAGGATTCCATACTATGGCGATCCAAAAGAGCTGAGCTTTGCCAATATAACGTTCTGCAAACGGAGGAAATTAGCTTACTGCTTCTGATTTGCATACATCGTTTACAATGGAAAAGCTACTTAGCATTGAAACTTCTAAAGAATTTTCATGACTCTTAGCTGATCCTTCCCTTTTGAGATTTTAACTGGTACTGACCATAAATTTTAAAGGCTTTTCCCCCTTTTTATGCTTTAAAATTTTATTAATTAAATAAACAAACAATGCAATGAATATAATATTAAGAGCCAGTGTGGTGTAGCGGTTAAGAGCATGTGACTGGGACTCAGGCGATCTGGGTTCGAGTCCCGGCTCAGTCATGGAGCCAACTGGGTGACTTTGGGCCAGTCACAGACTCTCAGCCCAACCTACCTCTCAGGGTTGTTGTTGTGGGGATAAGATGGAGGAGGAGAAATTATGTAAGCTGCCTTGAGCCCTTTGTAGGAAAAAGGCAGGCTATAAATTGAAAAATAAAATAAAAATAAATTATTAATAATGTCCCAGTATTGCTTGTATCATTTCTTTACTCTTCATTTTCTTTATCCAATAATATATTTACTCTTTGGTACTTCTCTCAATCTACTCCTCAAATTCTCTGGGAATCTTTCTAATTTTGTAATTGGATATGGCAAAATCGATGGGCTAAATCTGTCCCTATATTTATCCCACATTCTGACCATATTCTTAAAAAAGTGGTTTCCTATCATTTTAATAATTTTTTTATTATCTTGTTGAAAAAAAATATTTAATAAGGATCCCTCTACACCTTGATAATTTACCCCATATTATCTTATCTTGCTGTAGTATAATATCTGGTAGATGCTTCCTTTGATTTGCTATATAATTAAAAGAAAAAACCTTGAAGGCTTTAAGAGGCACCTTGGGGAGTGAGGTGGAGGAAAGCCAAGGGGTGCAGAGAGATGGAACGGTGACCCAACCATCTTCTGCCCCAGTTTTGCGCTCTCTGGGCAATCTGGCACACAGACAGCCCTGACGTTGAATGACTGCTTCATGTCACAGCCCACAGGTGAAGGCTGAGGCCAACCAGGATGCACCCAACCAGGGTTTGGGGGCTCCTGCATCGTGTGCCCCCTGCCCCGTCCCATCCAGCAGCTTTCTTTAGAACCTACCAGTGGTGATCCGGAGCGAAAGAAGACAGTCCCAAGGATCAGGTGGCAAAGCAAGAAAGTACGGAGAGGGAGGGTATCAGTGTCCAGGACGTGGGCGGCTGACTAACAGACAGAGGCAACCAGGTTGGGGCACAGGGGTCTGTCTGAAAGCACAGTTATCCAGTCCAAGGTCAGAACTGGGGGCTGAAGCATGAAGCAGAGTCTGTTCAAGAGGTTGTTGTTGTTGTTTAGTTGCAAAGTTGTGACCGACCCATTACAGCCCCCTGGACAACATTCCTCCAGGCTCTCCTGCTCTTCACCATCTCTCGAAGTCCACCCAAGAGCACATCCACCACCCCGTGACACCATCTAGCCACGTCAGCCTCTGTCCCCTTCTCTTTTTGTGGTAAATCATTCCCAGCATTAGGGTGAGTTGTTCCTTCTCATTAGGTGGTCAAAGTGTTTGATTTTCATCTTCAGTATCTGGCGTTCTAAAGAGCAGTCAGGGTCAATTTCTTTTAGAATTGACTGGTTTGATCTCTTTG